CTGCGTGCTGCAAATGAACTAGAGGGTGTATATGTGGTAAAACTATTCGTGGTAATGGGTGTTGGTGAGGTTGGAAGAAGAACAGTGTCAGTGTAGGACAACAGAAACGAAAGGATGGGCAGTGCAGGCTCGTCGCTTCCATTCACCATTTCAAGGTCTCCTGCCTGTGGTAGGCTGGTCATGTCGTGTCTCGATGGCGGCAGGCGCAACGATGGCCTGCACAACGCGCGCCCCATGCAGCGATTGGTAGGAGCATCCAGCATCAGCAAGTATCGAACTGCTATCAGCATGCTGGAACTTCGAAGAGCTCAACACACACCGGATGGAAGGAGAGTTGCTTCCCTGCAGGCTTCAGTACTTGTTGCGCCCTAGGATCATCACAGAATGAAGACGTACGGTCGGTCAAAGCACTCGTCCCACCCTGGTTCGCCCCTCTGCCAGTATCGTCGCAGCACCGCCCGCGCCTTCAGCGGACTGCTCGTGCCCAGCAGCCGACTGTGTTGCTCTAAGCGCTGTTCGATCCAGCGTCGAGTGCTGTGGTCGTTGTGATAGCCCGCTTCCACGCCGAGCACGCAAAGCGGGAACAGTGAGAACTTCTTCACTTGTTTCATCTGCGCGGCTGAGTGAAGCGCGTCCAACAGACGTTCGCCGTGTATGGTTCGCATCGTGTTCATCTCCAGGTTTGTGGGCAGAGCAGCCACAGCCTGCAGCGACATGGTGCAGTACAGTGCCATGGCGGACTGGTAGATTGTGCCGATGAGCAGCCACTGGCCATGGTGCTCACCCGGCTGCGCCCAGTCTTCGGGCACAAATGCTTCGACGCGTGCAAGGATGTCGAGCGCCTGCAGTGTGTGCTGGCCTTCGTTCTCGAATGGCGACGCGGTGATCTCTTGCCGCAGGTGATTGATGCGAATCATCTCAATGAAGAGTGACGGTGGACACAGCACGTAGGGAAATATGAGACTATACATCTTCTCCACTTCCCGGATGTGCTTATCCAGGGGCTCGGTGACGTTGATCGGTTCTGTAGCCGGCCCAAGGCTATTGGAAAAGGTGACAATGCTGTACAGGATTAGCCTGTGTTCGTGCATGGTATTGGAAGACTTGCATGACAAAGATGACCAGCGACGACGTCAAGTACGGTACCTCGCGTAGCAGGGTTTCGAAGCCACCACGCATTTCTATCAACCGCTTCATGCCGTTGGCATGCGACCGCCAGTCACCAGAACTGGAATTCTGAACCTTTGCTCTCCCGTCAGCCTCACGTGATGATCTTCCGCACAGCCTCACTCACCTCTATAGCCATGAACATCAAGATGCTACTGATTGTCAAGTCGCTGCAGCGAGTCTTTTCCTTGGCAACAAACTCGCTGAGGGCACGGATTGCAAGGCCACGATACTTGTATATCTTCGATCGGTTACCCGCAATAATTGCACGATCGGCACCTGCCGGCAGAGAATGGATGTAGTGGTTCAACCCCAGACAGACGAGCGTGTGATGCATTGCGGGAGGCAGAATATGCAGAGCCCAGACGGGGAAGTGGATCACAGCCGGATTGGGCGCCAGGCTGTCCGTCTCCTTGACATCTGGGTAGATCCTAGCGTTGACTTGAATGGTTAGTTAAAGCTGCTCGGAGGAATGCTAGACCTACAGTAGTTGACCGCTTGGACCACCTCACATGTCTCGTTGGACAGATACTCGTACGACGGCAGGTCTTGCATCTCCATAACCCACAGCAAGCGCCGCAGTCTTTCGAGAGGCTTTCGCTCGGATTGCAGTAGCAAAGCCGCCTCCCATTCCTGGCCTCTTTCTACTACTGCCTTCAGATTCTTCTGGCTGCCGATAGTCATGATGCGAGCAGCCACATCAGAGCCGCCTGCATGTTGCGTAGCCATCAATGTGATATGCTCCGTCTGCTCCTCGGCCGTCAGACTGTTCCACCATGCGGCATTATCCTCGTGAAGGAACAAGGACGCAAGATGACACTTGTAGATCTCAAGAGCCTCCTGCGTGAAGGGAGGCTCAGTGAAGGTCTGCCGCTCCAGGAGTGGCGCATGGTCAGCCGTTATAGCATCCGACGAGTTAAGTTTGGTGGCGTGCTCAGAGTCACCCGTCGGCAGACTGGAAACTGCAGGTGCAACATCTTCTCGATCTTTGGATCGCACCGTGTACACTTTCGGCGGACTATCTTTCTTCCTCCGTCTTGATGTTACCTTGCCCGGCTCAACCCATTGCAGTGGTTTCTGCTCGTCGTATCCGGGGCATTCTTTCCCAGCCTTCATGCACTTCCTACAGTGAGGCAGGGTATGGTCGCATACGAGCCGACGCTTGAGGCATTCCCAGCATTGACGCGTTGCTTTCTTTTCTCCACATTCGGCTTGCTTCGTCATGGTTCATTAGGCACGATAGCTCTCGAGGTTGCGCGGAGTGCACCAGGGTCAAGACAGTCGTGACCGGTCTGCAGTCTAACCGGTAGACGAGTACTTCTCTGCATCTTTATTGCCCTTGACGGTTGGCGTAGATGCCTGTAAGTGACAAGGCTGAGGAGAGCCCCACTTGTGGTTGGCAGTGTCAGCCGCCCGGTTTCTTGGCCATCAGTACTTCCCAATCCGGGTTAGTGTACGGGCGGTGGAGAGATGCGTCGTAGTGCAGGTTGCTTCGCCTTGCGTTGGCCTAGTAGACTATTATTAGTAGCCTTTTAGTATAGTTTTATAGGTATATATATATATGTTCAGTAGAGATGATTGGATGCATGTGAAGATTCGGGGGAAGCGATGAGGCATGACGTAACAGTCTGACCACGCTAGCATTTGCTCGCCTAAACCACGACACGAGCTTCCTGTACCGTCTCTCATGTTACAGAGGAAACGGATGTAGGCCCTGTCATTGGGCTTCTCAAGGAACTCAGCAAACCTGCGGGAACCGACTGGTGTAGACAAGGTACTCTGAGGTCTTTCCCTGAATAAATGAACCATTAATTGACAGTGACCTTCATGCTTTCTGAAAACCGTAAAATCTGACACACATGAGCAAAGATCAAGGGATAAGGTCTAGCTAACGTTCAATACTCAAAGGGTAGGAGAAGTCGATGAGGAGTAAGCCGCTATGGGGTTACCATGGTGTGGGCAAAACCTGCAGATTTAGAGGCCAAATGCATCTTCAGGACCGAACAAAGCTGCAAACATCCTAAACGGTATATCACTCACGTGTTAGCGAGCTCATTCTCAGCCAAATTATCGTACATGAGGCGGCCCAACAGCATTACAACGTAGTCTGCTTAAGCTTCACTAGCCTTTGCGTAAATATTGCTTGATTCGTGCAGTGCCTCGATCCAAGTCTCGGCCAATAAATGTCCCCTTCTGGGGCTAGCTGAAGACCGTGTGTGTCTATTTCTTTGGAGTATAGACGGGAGGAATATCATCGCAAGATAGAGTCTGATATATATAATTCTGTCATCCCCGCTATGTGGGTTGTAAAGCAGTTCCACTCTATCAGCCACTTGTACACATTGCCCGCCCATTCAATCATTTCCTGCCCCGTTTATCCTGTTTTTCTTGCTTCGTTCCCGCATTATTATAAGTACGTCCACTACTATCCATTCTTCCCCTTTTTTAATACTGGGTTTGCTGTGTAGCTGCTTTTCGTATTGGGGTTTGTTTTCTACCGACTCCTCTCAGCACCCAGCCTCACAGCCAGTCCGACGCACCCCCACACTGTCGAGCCAAGCGCTTGAGTATCTCTTGCGCGTCCGAAACACATGTGCTCAAAATAAAAGTAGCACTATCCACATCGTTGGTCAGTCCCACGCCAGTGCCGGCCCAAATCGCAGCACGCCCCCAGTCCAGTCTTCCACCCTCGATCCCCCTCTTGCTGGTGCTTTGCCTGGATCTCGTCCAGCGGAACCCCCGCCGAGAACTCTCTGTACCTCGCGATCGCAAGGCTCCGCACATCGTACTCCGCGGGCCAGACTGGGGCCACTCAGCTGGTCAAACAGCTTGCGCCGCACAGTGCTCTGTCCGCCGTCGCGCGCTCGACAACAGCAGCCTGAACCACAGGATGCACAAGCGCCTCTTTGCTCATCAAGAACCGCGTCCCCATCACCACGCCCACAGCACCCAGCGCCATCGCCGCCGCGCCCATCCATAATCCCACCACTCGCCAGCAGCGGCATATCCCCAACCCGACCTCCTCAAGCCTATCCAGCACCTCGGCACCAACGCAACAACCCGCACCCCTCTCCAACCCCTGCCCGCCCGCATCCGCGCCCTGCACACACAACGCATCGGGCGCGCCAGCTCTGCAACCCCCAGCGCCGCCTCCACACTCCCAACCTGCACCCTCACCCTGCGCGCCCACACGCCATACTCCGGCACGCGCGCCGCGCCGCACAGCTCGTGCCGCGTGCGTGCTGGGCAGGGGGTGCTGCCGATCAGGCCCAGGCCGCTCGAGAGCGTTACGGTGGCGGCGAGGAGGCCGCCCGCGGTGCGGGGGTGGGGGCGTTGGCGATGAGCGGGTGGAGGGGCGGCTAGGGGGGTGGAGGGGCGGCTAGGGGGGTGCGGGGGAGCGGGGGGAGTGGTGAGGGTGGTGTTGGTGGGAGGGAGTTCGAGGGGTGGGCTTGACAGGGTGAGTGAGTTCAAGCAAGGACTGAGTTTAAGCGGCTCAACTTGATATGCGTATCCAGTGAAACCATGGATGCAGCAACAGAAAGAGATCAACTGCACCGGTCCTGCACGCCTAACATCACAACCCCACACCCTCCACAATCCCATCCGTTCTTCCCAGCCGCTGCACACCAGACTCCCCAGGCGCATAAACACAACACAACATATTAGTTAGTTAGCTAGCCGCGCTGCGTCACTGCCAAGCACCCCACCCAGCCTCGATCCCCATCAAAATTCAAACCTCACATCTCAACCCCCCACCTCCCCTCTTAAAAACCAGAAGCTTGGATATATATTACTAAAGTTGTTGTCGTTCCATCAAATCACAGCAAGTGCTTGGTTCGCTGGTGTAGTTGGTTATCACGTTCGCCTCACAACCTAGTGTCCGCGAAAGGTCGCGAGTTCGAACCTCGCGTGAATCATTTTTTGCGTATCCACTCCCCACATTCCCCCCGACTTCGAGCGCTCATGCGGTGGAGAGCATGGCGGGGTGGGGTTGGTTGTTTTTGCTCGGTGAGGGGACGTGATGAAAGTGCTTGGGCTAAATGTACTTCGTATGGCTAGTGCCAGGATGAGGTGAGTGGTGGTTGTCATGCATGTGGGCCTGTGCTTTGTGCTGCGAGATATCATGTCGCTTACTGTGTGGTGTATGGTTTGCGAAGCGCGGTGTCTGCTGATGGGCAGAGTGGGTGACAAAAGTGATGAACAACGGATGCGATTGCAAGGCAGACTATGCTGTGGGTATATAACCATGTAGACAAGACATCCGTACCATGCAAATGAGAATAAGAGCAGCAGCGCTGGGCCAGTGATTGACACATGTCAGCCCCGCGATGGGCTGTTGGCGCCGCCTTTGTTGATGAGGCCTGAGAAGAAGGACATGAGCTTGTCGTTGCTCATGATACTCGAGTCCTGGGCGTCAGGTGTCGATGCTTTGGGCTCGCTGGAGCGATTTGCTTCACGGTCCTGGGTGGCGTTAGCTCTCTGTTGGAGTGTAGCAATGGGATGACATACCTGTAGCCTCTTCACCATCTCGTCGGCATTCACGTGAATGCCACCCATGTTGAACTGCACAGGCCCAATGTGCTCTTCGACAACGCCAGACGTGTCTTCCCCACTTGTCCCGGCAGCTACCCAGCTCCTTGCTGAGGGGTCTGCCTCTTTCCGGGCGGCCTTGGCTGCTGCCTCCTTCTCGTCTTCATGCCGTAGCTGGTCGAGAACATGTACCTGTTCTGTCAGGAATGCCTGCGGGTCCATACTCGTGACCTCGACACCGCTGCCTTGTTTCGATATTGTTGATAGTGTGAAGTCGGACTCGGGGTTCCGTATCTCTTGTTCGTAGATGGCGGTCGCCGAGTCGTGCGCATCCTGCTCACTCGTTGGTGATGCTGGGTCCTCGTCACCTCCAGCTCCATCGTCGTCCGCCTTTTGCCCGTTTGGCCGAGCCGGACCGTGAGGCATGTCGATGTCGACACTCCACTTATTGCTGATCTCTTCCACCTCGAAGTTGCCCCGCAAAATTCGTATCTTCGCCCAGGAGTCCCAGTTTGGCGGTACAAGTACTCGATCTCTGTCTGTGACGTTGTGTCTGAGCTGCTCCTGCTTGAGGAGCGATTTGATGCCCAACGTCGAGTGGACCAATGTCTGAAGGGATCCGGGCGCTGAAGGCATTGTGTAGATCAAGCTGCCACCATGCTTGAGCAAGATCGTGCGCAAATACTGCAAGATAAAGTCGAACTCCTCTTCCTTCCAACCACGCTCCTTCTCCAGGGACTCGATCTTGTCAGCGTTCTGACACACGACGCATAATGGCAGTCCCAGCGGCTCGTCCCACTCTCCCTTCCCCAGCGGTATTTTCATATTCTCCACCGATGTGCTGCCTTCTCCACCAAGATTGCGCCCTGTGTCTTGCAGGATTGCGATGTTCTCTTCGAGGACTGCCTTGGAGGCATCGTCCAGTGAGACAATCAGGGACCGCAGCACCCTTATCCAGTCACGCAGCTGCCGAATCCATAGCCATGGGTGGTTCCAGTCCAGCAGTATGACGACGAGCATGTTCGGGACAGTGCGGGGATTCAGGTACGGCTTGATTAGGGGCGTAAAGGACGGCGAGGGAGTGGCGAGCAGGTAGAGAGAAAGGCGGGCGAGCGTGTCTGTCGATGTTAGAACTTGTATGCGCAGGAGTCCATGTTGGCGTGGAGGTGAGCAATTAAAGAGCTAAACAACGCACCCTCATGGTCTGTGTCGAGTACATCTTGATATGTGTACCCTAACGCAAATTGATTCGCAACAGGTGGCTTCCTCCCTCTGTCTGCTTGTCTCCTCCCATTCGGACCGTCTGTTGATAGCGACTCGAGGAACTCCCGTTGTGTCTCCGGGGTGCCACCTGATCCCCTTTGTTAGCCTTCACCGCCGCATGTGGTTGAGGCCAGCGCACCTAATACAAGCAGGCTCTTTTCCGGTAGTCTCTTTCCGCTCGAGATGTTGTCCAGCATGGGCTTCCATATCTCCTCCTTGTCCGAGTCTCTGCTGCCGGGCCGGTCGTGGCTGCCCGGTGCTCGCGTGGGGAGCCCTGAAACTCGACGCGCGCTGGCCATTGCGGAGTTGCGGAGGCCGGGGGGTGGTGAGTTTGGTCGCGTGTGGAATGACGTCTCCAGCTGCTGGCGAGGGATCTACTGTGTGGCGGAAGGGGAGAGCAGATAATCAAGAGAGCAGGAGCGTTGCGGTGCGCGGTACGTGTGCTATGTGGGGTGTTGTGGAGGTGTTTGGCCGCTGTTTGTTGGTCGGCACCTTTCCTGCAGGGGTCCCGCGACTTGCCCTGCCAAGCACCGAGCTTCGTCAAAAGTCCGCGACCATCGCTCACGTTTCCTTGACATCCGCCAAATTGCTCACCTCCCCGCCAATATGAACTCGGTGCGCGCAATCCAGCAGCTGAACAAGCGCGAGCTCGAGGCTGGCATCAGCCCAGAAGGCTCCTGGCACACCGACTACCGCGACACGGCCTTTATTTACATCGGCGGCCTGGCATTCGAGCTCTCGGAGGGTGACATCATCACAATTTTCTCGCAGTATGGCGAGCCCGTGTGGGTGAAGCTTGCACGAGACAAAGAGACGGGAAAGTCACGTGGTTTTGCCTGGATCAAGTACGAGGACCAGAGGAGCTGCGACCTGGCTGTCGACAATCTGGGCGGCGCGACCATTATGGACCGAGTAGTCAGAGTCGACCACGCACGATACAAGCCACACGACGATGAGGATATGAGGGACAACACGATGGGCGATGTTGATGTGGATGCTCACGACGATTCTGACGGAGGCAGGCGCAAGCGGAGGAAGAGCCAGGAGGACAGCGAGTCAGAGGACGATAGGCCACTGCTCCCGGAAGAGATTGAGCTGGGGCGGCTGATGGATAAGCTCGGCATGGACGACCCCATGCGCGACTCCATGATCAAGCAGCAACAGGAGAAGGTGGACGAGGCAGTTGCCAAGCTGAAGCGCAAGATGCAGAAAGAAAAAGAGAGGAAGCGCAGACACGAAAGACGACATCGCAGAGACGACTCCAAAGATCGCAATCGAGACCGCGACAGGAAGAGAATCAAGGATATTGAGGGTGACGATCGCCACGACCGGCGATCGCGGCGCAAGGACGACCGCAGCAGGAGTCGAGACAAAGAATCTAGCAGCGATCGCCGGCGCACAAAGCCTAGGCGTCGAGACGAGTCAGAAGATAGAGACAGGCGCCGCCGCCACGATCGAAGTCGAGACCGCCACGACCGCAGTAACGAGGGGCGTGACAAGAATCGTGACCACAACCGACGACGCCATAGCTCTGACAGCGACGGCGAAAAGAAGCCAAAGTCGAAGCGCTCAGTCTCACCGTACCGCGACCGCTCTTCTCGGTGAGCAGACTGAGTTTTACAACAGTGCTGCACTCAATTGCTTGGTCGATTCAGTATACCTAGCATCACACGAGTCTGACATGGTCGTCATTGGAATGAGTTAACTGGCCTCTTGTGTACATCGCACAAGATATCATCACTCGCACGCCAATTCTGGACCATCACAGATGAAATCCCTCAAAATCTGGAAGTCTCGCCCCATTGAAGACATGGATCAACGCTTGAACATGTCCCAGATGCTGCCGCGTCCCCATTGCTACCATGGCGGCTTATGCTGTTCAAGAAGTGGAGGAAAAGCTTGCTGCACAAATCGTAGGCTCTATGACGTTGTATCTGCCTCGGGCTGGTGGACTGGCCGTCGAACTGAACGTCATGAATCGAAGCCGCCAAGTGAACATGATCGACGGACGTCTACCTGGTCTAAATTAAACCCAGGCACGCTTGAAAGCCATGGTACAATCGGCATTTTCAGCACACATCACTGCTGTTCTGTTTTTCAACCCCTAGTGAAGACCTTTCCTTGTGGACGTCTTGCAGGGTAAAGTCGTCACCCAGAGAAGTCATTACCCAGAGTGGAGATTCTGTCTTCCATGAGGTCCGCCCTTGAAGACGCAGCTCGACTCCCCCCAAAAATTATGCTCCAGCTTCAGCATCAGCTATTACGTCTCCCGATACCCATCATGTGCTCTTCCATGAATGAAAGTCTCATTCACTGCTCCAACTAGGAGTCGGTCCACGTCCCCAACATCAGCAGCTGCGAATTCAATTGACCTCCTTATATAAGAACCACCAGCATACTCCCTGTATCTCCATCTACAGCACACAGTACCAACGAGTCCAACCGCAACAGCAGAAGCATCGCTCCACTCACCGACCAAGCGACATATCAACACAATGTCCAAGACAGGCTACAACGACATGGCCCAAGGCTGGGGCTTCGATTCCACTCGTCCCTGGAGCATGCACGACTACCCGTACTCGGGTACCTTGTACCGCTACGACGAGCGCAAGAAAGGCGGCGTCAAGGTGCGAGAAGCTCAGGAGGCTGGCAGGTCGAGCACTCAGAGACTGACGGAAGATATGCTGGGTAGGCTGGGCAACGCGCCGTACTTTGATTTGAGGCATGAGAAGTGGGTGAGCAGAGCGCCGGGGCATGGAGAGTGGACTATGCCGGCGGTTTGGAGGGGGGGTGGGGAGTCTTAGGCGATTGGCGAGTGGTGGACAATGTTCTCTTGGCAATGTTAGAAATGTAAATCTTGATGGTCAATGTACGAGTGCAGTCTTGAGAAGAGGTATACATTCAAGAGCTACTCGAACTATGTTGTTTGGTCTTGGGTATCTGCAGCTTGACGTCATGGCCTTGAACACGAGCATTAACATCAGCATCAGCACCACACCAACACACGATACAATATCTCCATCCAAAACATCGGTTCAACCTCGACCGTATAGAACTAACCCGCACCTCTCAAACCCAAGCTCTCTCTCTATCTACTTCCGACAGCAACCAGCTCCCATGGCGC